GGCGGTCGCACCCCCCCCCGGAGACGGCTCGTTCGCCGCGAGCCACATTAAAGATTCGTTCAAAACGACCGAATCGTTCAAGAACGACCCAACACTAAATATTTCACGGGCGTCGGCGATTCCCTCAGATTGTGTCTTTGATAATTCACACTGCGTGATTGTCACTCGTGTGAACGAGCACCGATTTGCCTCTGATTTCGGGCATTTGTCTGCAATTTTGTATAACCTTTCGGCAAGTGAAAAATCGGGCTAAAATCGTGCAGTGTGAACTCGGCATTAGAGCAAATTGGGTAAATTGGTTGAAAAACGCCCCTAGTGGTTCGAAATCGACTAGGATTAGCATTCTACAGATACACAGCCTGCCCTAAAACTTGTGACCTTTTGCGTTTGACCCACTCACAATACACTGACGTATTTCCGTTGTTTGGCCCAAATGTTCAATTAGGCGTCAAAACGATAAGTGTATGTAGAACTTTTGCTTACCTGATGGGACAAATTTGTAGTGTTGTATAATCGCAAGTACAGTTTTAACACTAGCTAGCAAATTAGCAAAATCATTCTTGTGATAGTCAAAAGCATTATCAAAAATGTGTTGCATTTTGTACCACAATTTTCCAGCTAAATTTGAACTCTAAATTAGTGTTTTCATCTCAGTCCAAATCCAAGACATTATATTTGTTGCGGTGCTCTTAAAAACAAACAGAAAAAATAATACAAAATTTGAATTATTGACATCTAAATACTAGTATTTATTGTTTTTTGTTGTTAGACAGACAAACATCACATATTTAAGATGGGCCTCTGAATCTTCCGAAGAAGAGGATGCTGTTGGTGGGATTGTGCCTGATGAAGAACAAGAAGGGGTGATCTGCCATGAAGTGCTCCTCTCGTAACATACAGAATGCCACAATGGCTGCCGTAGCGGCTGCTGCTTATATATATATATATATAAATATATATATATATATATATATAGCCCGCAAATTGTCTGTGAGCTGATTTCCAGCTACACGGAGAAAAAGAAAAACAGATTATGCAGGAGGGAGATGCAGGGAACAGGGATTGGGTGTTCTGCAAAGAGAGTTGGAGGTAAATAATTTTGCAGTAACTGTTATGCTGTTGTGGCTGGTCAAGCAAATGTTTGTGCTTGGTTCTGTATGATATAATTGTTCATATATCTATTAAAATACTGATATTCTGGTCTATAACTCCTCCCCGAACTTCCCTCTGCCCTGTATCTTGGTCTCTCATTGGCTGTAGATCATCGCCGATGTAGTTTTCAGTCAGAAATCATTGCACACAGCGTGATTGTGAATCGCCTACTGCTCCAGATATTTAGCATGCCAAATATTTCTAGTGGTGGGAAGTTCGGATTATTTGACTGACTCGGACCTTTGAGTCTCGTTCAGCAAAATGAACAAATGTTTTTTCGAGTCATTTCGTTCATTTTAACAAAATATAATTAAAATATTGTGTTACTTCCCTAACACGTTTACTACTTACGCAAACGTTGATCACACTACAAACAATACAAAACTGCTATAAGAAACAAAAGATTAATTCATTATTTACCTGGGTCTTCAGTCTATGATTAGCTCACCACCTCTTATTTGACAAGTCTTCGGGTTTGGGTTTATGGGTCTGTCACGTGATGAACGAACGACTCGGAAAAACCCGAAGACTCGAGATGAACTAATCAATTGTCTTTCCGGCTCAGACTGCATTGGTTAAAGCTTATGGGGCTGTCACGTGATGAACGATCGACTCGGGAAAAACCCGAAGACTGGAACCAGGTGAACTACTTGACTAATTCCAGTACAAAACCTATAGAATGTTGCGCATGCGCGACTGAACGAGTCACTCCCCGAGACGACTCGTTCTTCCCGAGCCACATTAAAGATTCGTTCAAAACGACCGAATCGTTCAAGAACGACCCAACACTAAATATTTCACGGGCGTCGGCGATTCCCTCAGATTGTGTCTTTGATAATTCACTTTGATTGTCACTCGTGTGAACGAGCACCGATTTGCCTCTGATTTCGGGCATTTGTTGGCAATTTTGTATAACCTTTCGGCAAGTGAAAAATCGGGCTAAAATCGTGCAGTGTGAACTCGGCATTAGAGAAAATTGGGTAAATTGGTTGAAAAACGCCCCTAGTGGTTCGAAATCGACTAGGATTAGCATTCTACAGATACACAGCCTGCCCTAAAACTTGTGACCTTTTGCGTTTGACCCACTCACAATACACTGACGTATTTCCGTTGTTTGGCCCAAATGTTCAATTAGGCGTCAAAACGATAAGTGTATGTAGAACTTTTGCTTACCTGATGGGACAAATTTGTAGTGTTGTATAATCGCAAGTACAGTTTTAACACTAGCTAGCAAATTAGCAAAATCATTCTTGTGATAGTCAAAAGCATTATCAAAAATGTGTTGCATTTTGTACCACAATTTTCCAGCTAAATTTGAACTCTAAATTAGTGTTTTCATCTCAGTCCAAATCCAAGACATTATATTTGTTGCGGTGCTCTTAAAAACAAACAGAAAAAATAATACAAAATTTGAATTATTGACATCTAAATACTAGTATTTATTGTTTTTTGTTGTTAGACAGACAAACATCACATATTTAAGATGGGCCTCTGAATCTTCCGAAGAAGAGGATGCTGTTGGTGGGATTGTGCCTGATGAAGAACAAGAAGGGGTGATCTGCCATGAAGTGCTCCTCTCGTAACATACAGAATGCCACAATGGCTGCCGTAGCGGCTGCTGCTTCTGTGCCTTCTTCATTTACATCCACAAAGGCCTTGTGGGCCACTGCCGAAAGAAAGAGGCCACCCTGCCTGCTCATGCCAGTCAGATCAGCCTTTGGACCCTGAAACACAGAGGTCATCCCCATCCCCATCAATATTTCTGCTAAGGAGCTCTCAACCTCCAGCTTGAACTTTGGCAAGTGGACTATGATTTCTGTGTGGGTGTCCATATTGTTTCTGTTGGTCCATTCATGCAGCTTATCAAGGGTCAGCTCGCTCTCCAGCTGTCAAACACACATGCACATGAGTCTCTGAATATACACAAGATTACAATATTTTCAAGTCAAGCAGATCAGTACGAAAACTTTTTGCCGACCTTATGAAGAGGGTCAGAGCCATCCTGACTTTCCTCAGGAAGAAGGATCAACATGCTGAGCTCCTCCTTTACGTATGGCAACTCCAGCACTTGCAAGCGGTGGTCACAGACATAGTTTAAGGGGAACTTTTTCTTCTGGTACATCATTTGCACTGGCCGGCGATCATTCTGATGGAAGACAAATACACGTACCAATGGGAAAGTGAACACAAAAAAGAGTATGACCCTCTATCAAGTAGATATGATTTAGTACGCATAGTGTAAGGACATACCACTGCATTTGTATAATATTTTGCAAACAGACCTGGTTCATTTTAAATGGCATTTCTTTAGTGTCTTGAGCATTAAATTTCTGAAGCCAATTCCCTTTGAAATAGATGGCATTAACCAGAGCTAGTCGGGTCATTCCGGTCATCATTCCTGGCTTGATAAGGTCTTTGATTTTATCTGAAAAACACGAGTTTGTGTTTCTGACTTCACATCTGTACTTTTAAAAAATATATTCTATCAACAGGTCCAAACTGATTCATTAATCTGAAATAGAACTGTTTATTGAACTGATCTTCTCACTCTCTGTCTGCTCTTCCACCCATTTGTTAATGAGCTGTCGTGACTCATCAAATGCTCCAATGAAGTCCACAGCCTGAAGGTCAGCGTGGTACAGCTTCAGAGTGGAGTCCAAATACTCCTGCAGCCCACATGACAACAATCAGCAAAAAATACCTCACGAAAGACCTCTAAATTGTGAAGTTAAACAATAATTGATGGAAAAGAATATGTCTAAGGCTTAGCTTCCAAATGTCTTTTTGTTAAAGGCAGAATAAACTCACAGGT